CTTCTATATTTTTTGTCCCTGGAGATGCCTGAGGTTTAAAGTTATATGTATCTTCTTTTTTTAGCAATCAATATCCATTACATATAGCTCACCATCACAGCTTTTCCTGCAGAAAGATGTTAATGGATTCTGTCAAGACTGTAAGACAACCACTTCCCTACATAACAGCTCTTAAGTTCCCTAAAAGCCTGGCCATCAGAAAGCGATCAGGAAGCTTCCAATAAGCTCAGGAGTGTAATCAATATTGTTCACTCCTTGGTGATGATTAGTAGAAGGACATCAATTGTCATCAGTGGTCCATGGCAAAGACACATTAAGTCACATGGGCTGTGCTTTTCCTGACATTTTCTATCCATTATCCCTCCCCTCTAGAAAGCAGAAGTCTCTAAGGCTTCCATGGCAGCAGTGACTAATTTGCTGGCCTTCAGAAAAAATAGTAAACAATAATGCAAAATTAAAACAAACCCCCAAACTAGATACCTACAGTAGTTTTCAGGAGACTGGGTTATTTGGGGCTATTTATATGTCAATTTCAAGACATCTTGCAAATGAATAGGATTTCTCCAATTTTAAATCCTGATTCAAAGCTTTCAGACTGTGTGTCCAGCTTCCAGGTGTTTGGGGAACTCAATCTGTGTCCCTCAACCCACGACCCTGGCAGAGAAGGAATTTTTGTCTGATCATATTCCCCTAGAGTTATATCATTAATAACAAGGGATGGAATTGAACAAATTTCGTAGTAACTTTATTTAAAGTAAGTTATTTTGAAGGTGTAGGACTATCTGACAAAGGGATAAAATTATCTACCATTTTCCTATGCACAGATTTAGTTTGCTATGTGGCCACCTAGTGGTCATTCTAGAAACTTCTCTGATGGGTTGGGCGTGGGCTGACCTGCTATACATTTGCATTCTAAAAAGAAAGTGTTAACTTTTCTTTAGACTATGACTTCCAATTTTAGCTCATAAATTGTGCATTTTTTAATTCTATAATCATTTGATAAAACAATGCTTCAAGTAAAAGGCAAAGTGGCTGTTTGATATTTGGAAATAATCCAAGTATCAGGCACTGGAAGGAGCTCCGTAAGAAACAGAGCAGGTCATGACAGCAAAGGGAAGGACTATAGGCAGAGTCTCCAGGGTCTAGGATAAGCAGTATGGGCAAGTGTGGAATGCACCCCCTAAAATAAAACAGGACTTAACTGTCAGAAAACTCCTGGAGTTTTCTGAAGAACAGAGACACTGAATAGAAGTATAGAGAGACTTTGTAGGTAGAAAGCAATGAGGCACTTAGGTACCAGACATATTTACATTTAGAGATGAGAACAGAAATCTGAAAAAACAAAAAAAAAACAAAAACTGGACGTTGGTATGTGGACTTCAAGACAGAGGAGGTGGTGGCAATAGTGATGATGAGCTTTCTGGAAAATATTTGAGAACAATAGCAAAACTAACATGTCAAGAAGGTGATCTTAAGTTATCACCAAAATACACATTACGCATCAGTGTTAAGTTTTGTTCAGAGAAACATGAATATCTAACTGTCCTTTTAAAATAGGCTACCCTAGTCAGGAACCAAACCTTGGGCAAAACCGGTTTTTCACAGCCTAAGCAGCAGGAGGTGTAGTTTTATTGGTGCCACCCCCATTCCTCCTCCCGCCCCCACCCCAGCAGAGTTCTTCTGGAGAGTTGAGTGGTGGAAGCCTAAGCAGAGGTTTCCTGCCTGCGGGCAGATCCTTCCCAGCTAAGCTGGGTTTGATTTCCGGAGCCCCACGGCTCCAGTGGCAGCAGCTGAAGTTTCCTGCCTCTGGTCAGCACCCAAGTAGTGACGGGCAGCAGGAGGCTGATGTTAGTGGTAGGGGTGTAGTGGTTGCCCTGCACCAGAGGCACAGCTGCCTGCAGCCCTCACAGGTGGCAGAGGGCAGCAGCAGCTGGTCGCTATTTTACTGGCCACCACCATTGGTCCCACTAGGGCTCAGGCTGCAGAGAGAGGCCTAAGTAACAGCAGGTAGCAGTGGTTCCCCTGCCACGCCGCCCCAGGGTATGCACACCCTTTGGGGTCACAGTGGTCAGGTTGCCTTGTGCTGGAGCAAGCTTGGGCAGAGGAGGCAACAGTAACCCCTGCACCAGAGGCTGCAGGGCTAAGCATGGGGCCCCACTGGGCCCGCTCCAGCGCGGCAGCGCCCTCTAGCTGCAGGCAGCAGTAGAGGCAGTGGCCAACAAGGTGGATTCCCAGCAGAGCCCACCATAAAGCAGCTCTGGGATTCCTGACCCAGTACTGCTGTCCCCCAGCCCTGCCCTTCGACACTGTTACACCCAGGCCTGCTGAAGGGGTACGGGGTGCAGAGTGCCTCCAGCCCCACTGAGGGCCCGAAAATATCACTGCTGCTGCCAGCAGGTTTCGGCTGCCCCCACCACCCAGTCCTTGAGCTGTAGTGGCTGGGTTGGGCGTGGGTGAGTGGGCAGAGGCACAGGCAAAGACAGCACATTGTGCTGCTTAGGCTGTGAAAGAGCAGGTTTTGCTCCAAGGCTTGTGCCTCTGGGTCAGGTTTCACCTTCATGGTGGCTCTCAGGGACTGTTGTTTGCTTTAATAAGTTTAGTATGCATGGGAGATGGATTTTCACAAATTTACATTAAAAAAGCTACAGTAGCATTTTTCACTTTAAGTACACACCTTTATCAATATTCTTTCTTAAAGGAATGGTCTTTATTGAACCGGCAGTGCCGACTAGGTGTAAAGTGCTGACTCACTGCTGTCCTCGCTATTCTCAGGCAGGGCATGTCAAGCTAGTCAACAGAACAGAAGCTCTTTCACCAAGGACAACCCATTTCTTTCCCAATTTTGCAGCCTTTATTTAATTGAATGAGAAAATTTGCAGTTAGCAATTGAAAGCTTTATTTCAGTAAATGAAAAAGAATTGCACATAGCTTTAACAGTTAAAAAGAAAATCAAAACAAAGGGGAACATGTTGAGAAGCATCAGTATAAGAAATAACTGAAATAATTTTCAGGACACCCCACGCACTATAATCAGCGGTCAGGGAGGAATGAGAGATGACAGGTATTACATGGGAAGTGCACAAATCCCTCGGTATAAGGCTCTCAAAAGCTGTTCATGGGAATTATGAGTATTTTTTCTCAACTGGAATTAATTTTCTAAAATTCTTGCAATCCCCTGAATTCTTCTGTGAGGGTTTAAGGAATTCTAAGCACTTAGGAATTTAGAATAATCAGGAGTATTTCAGGTCCATCATGATTCTGAGAACTATTCTGTAGATAAGGTGACTATTTCACGTTCTTTGTTGATGGGGAATGAGCTGTATAGTCCTCTACCTTTCAATTAACTAGTGGAATCAAATGTACTGATTGTCTTGGCATTTTTGCAGGAAAAAATTTCACTCGAACCAGAATTAGTGGTAATCACGTCTTGTTCAGACTAAGAGAAATGCTTTTATGCTCCTAAAGAAATAAATTTCTGTAAATAATGTTTTCTTTATTATACTAAGGATTGTAAGTCACCATTCTCTAAGTGTTGACTATTTTTTTTAATGAACCTGATTAAAATTTTGTGGGAAAATACTAGATTTTTTATGTTGATCTAAAAAAGCACCTGAAAAATGCTAAGAATTTTTTGGTAACATAGGCCTATGCTACAGGAGGTGCATTCTACAGGCAAGTATTTTCACAAAGTTGTTTCTCTTAAACATTTTCTATATGGATAACGCATATTGGAAAAACTACCAGAATATTGTGTAACAGGATCAAGGGAAGACTGTGAAGATCTTGCATCCAAATCTTCAACCGAGCTTTGCACAGCCATTTTGAATATCCAGTTGCAAATTCTAAATAGAAACAAATGGTGAACAAATGAGTGGTTTACTATAAAATCTGTATGTATGTTGTATTTCAGTTATTCATTGGTATTTAATAATTACTAATAATTTTTCTGGATTATGTTGTATTACATTTTCTAAAGGTCTTATCTGTGACTAATTAAGCAATTATTATAACATGAACAAAACGATCACAAAAGAAAGGCAGCCATTTTGTTTTGCACTGCAGGATGCCAGCAGTTTGCTTGCACTAAGAGTTTAGCTGTGCTCCCTGGTTTGAGGCAGGTTCATCACTGTGGCATGCAAACCCTGTTAGAAATGCCCTTCCCTGTTAAAAATGTCCCAACTGGGAAAGAGTATTGGGCAAGATTCCTAGTAGGAATGCTTTGAAGGTGGATGCTGTATATTAACTCAGTACCTTGTAGGAACTTAGCAGATATCAATGAATGTATATATGAAGAAAGAAGACAAAACTTCTGAAATGTAGGCAATCAAGGGGTTAACCACTGCACTGTGAAGCTATCCACAGCCTCTGAAGCACCCTTAGATCCCTGCCCAGCCAGGGAACTACCCACATGGTGCAGCAGACCTCTCCTGTCTCGCCTGCTGCTCCCCTGCAGCAGACCTCTCCTGTCTCGCCCAGTGCACACAGAGGCCCAAGTAACAGCAGGTAGCAGTGGTTCCCCTGCCACGCCGCCCCAGGGTATGCACACCCTTTGGGGCTACAGTGGCCAGGTTGCCTTGTGCTGGAGCATGCTTGGGCAAAGGAGGCAACAGTTAACCCTTGCACCAGGGCCTGCAGGGCTGAGCAAGGGGCTTCACTGGGCCCGCTCCAGCGCGGCAGCGCCCTCTAGCTGCAGGCAGCAGTAGAGGCAGTGGCCAACAAGGTGGATTCCCAGCAGAGCCCACCATAAAGCAGCTCTGGAATTCCTGATCCAGTACTGCTGTCCCCCCAGCTCCTCCCTTCGACACTGTTACAACCAGACCTGCTGAAGGGGTACGGGGTGCAAAGTGCCTCCAGCCCCATTGAGGGCAGGAAAATGTCACTGCTGCTGCCAGCAGATTTTGGCTGCCTTCACCTCTCAGTCCTTGGGCTGTAGTGGCTGGCATGGGTGGGGTGAGTGGGCAGAAGTACCAGCAAAGCCTGCAGCTGACTCAGGAACTTACCAATTTGGCATTTGAGTTAGGTTCTGCTGTTCCTCTCATGTCATTACTTGCGGGACTCTATAATCAACAGAGGACGTCATGTGGGAACTGAACACAGTGACGCAGCAAATTGTGAGCAATATACACACACAGCACCTCTCCCTGAGCCGCGAAAAATCTTAAGTTTGTAAACACTTTGGGGGAGAGGGTAGTTCTGGTTAAGTTCAATGTTTCCACAAAGCATTTTTCCTTATAAATCTTACGAATCTCTCTTGACAATATATTTAAGAGATTCCAAAAAAAATTCATTCTAATAATATATTGAAATCCCAGGGAAACCTGTTTATAACAATGGACTGCACTGATTGAGAGTGGTGTAACAGAGAGATGAATTGTCCCACCCTAAGCAGGCCACACATTCTAAGATACTTTTTTGTGTTGAGGATTCTGGGGAGCCACAGCCAACATTATTTTAATCATACTCTTTTAGTCTGTAATAAAGAAAGCATAATGAGGGCCTCCCTGGTGGCCTAGGGGTTAAGTCACAATGCTATCACCACAAGGGCCCACTGTGACGGCCTGAGTTCGATCCCCGGCCAGGTTGCTGACTCACATGGTGCAGCAGACATCTCTCTGTCTCCCTTGCTGCCCCCCTCAGCAGTGTATTTCAGTAGATCTGTCTGTTCTGCTCCCCACCTGTCTCTGGTGAAGTCTCTCACTCCTACCCCCCACAAACTCTGGTCTGCACCCCAGTTCTTCTAAGAAGAAGTAAATAAATAAAATTTAAAAAAAAAGCATAATGAGAATTGTTGACTTCAAAAACATGTAATTAAGAATTTTGGTGCTTTCAGAGCCCAGTTCTGCAGAAGGTGAGTCAAGCTGTGTGGTGGTGAAGGTACAAAGGCAGATAAAGCGACTCAGCAGGTCAGGTGATCCCAGAGGTTATTTAATATCTTTTTTGGGATTTTGTGTCTAAGCATGTGTGTGCTAATTTGGCTAATTTGTACCTCTCACAGAAATACTGACCCTGAGGATGCACCTCCACAGTTGGTGGGGAGCCCTCAGGCCCACGGGGCTATGGTGCCATCCCTGCCTTAGGACTCGGGAACCAGCGCTCAGCCCAGGTGAGCAGGGAGAGCATCTGTCTCAGGAGAAACATTTAAGGGGCACAAACAAGTTCAGTAATCAGGATAAATGATGTCACCAAATTGCTGTGATCATGAAAATTATTTTATAAGCATTCACAACAGACACAATGCCAGTATTTTAAATAAAGATGGTATCTGACTGTGCGCTTGCCTGAAGTAGAAAGTGCCTTTATTTCTGCTGCGAATCAGAGCACAATGTCATATTATTGGAGCTTTTTAAGGAACCAGTGAATTTTTAATGGCATCAAAATTATTATTGAAATGGGACGCACTAGCAGGACCAACCAACAGAGGATGGGGGACTTTACCAGTGTGATGTAGTGAGGACTTGAAAAGCTGGTTGGAAGTCTCTCTAAAGACTCAGTTCTTCGCTGGTGAAAAGAGATATTATTAGTACAATTAGTGTTCAAGCAAGTATGACTGTTTCCCAAGCCCATAACATAAATTTTCCAACTACCTCTGGAATACTGTTCTAGTGAACATACAAATATTAATATATATGCAAACAATATTCTTCCCTCGGTGGTTTTCTTGTCACAGGTGAGTCTGTGACGTGAGCACACACCTGAGAATAGTGAGGGTTTTTAAGTAGTACGGCAGCCTGTTAGCTTCCAAATAATTCTCTAAGTGTCTGAATGCCTGAAATGCCACAACCAGCTATGTTGTTTTAGACCTTGATGATTTAAATTTCAAAGGAGAAACTTCAGAACTTGCTATTACAATACAGATACATCTGGTTGAGGTTACTGTCCTTAAAGTGCTTTCTGTTAATCGCTACCAGACCTGAACACAGCCAGCAAGACTGGTCCGGTGGAAACAGGACGTAAGAGGCACTGAGTGCCAGAGGAAAAAACCAAACAATCTGCATTAATTTTTGCAGACCTTTCTGAAAATACAGTTTTGCTGAAAACTGAATTCTGATGAATAACCAATCTGATAAACAACCATCACCTAAATCATTATTTATAAAATTTTATGACAAATAATACAAGAAGGCTGAGGTGAGATTGGAGGGTCTCAACACTCCTATACAATGTATTACACCATCAGTAGTGAATTGAATTTACTCATATAAATAAATAAATATTAAAATCAGATGTTCCCTCATTGAACTAAAAGACAGGGCCTTCCCCGGTGGCGCAGTGGCTGAGTGCAGGGCTGCGAGGCTGCCAGCAGCCTCTGCAGCGCCAGTTTGATCCCCGGCCGCCGGCAAGGGTCCCACATGGCGCGCAGACCTCTCCTGCTGCCCGCTGCTCCCCTCAGCAGTGTACTTCATCAGTCTGCCTGTTCTGTTCCCTGCTCTAGCTCTGGTGAATTCTCTCACCCTCCCACGCTTCTGACTGTACCCAGTGCTTGTATAAGTAAGTAAGTAAGTAAATAAATAAATAAATAAATCTTAAAAATAAAATAAAATAAAAGACAAACGCCTTTAAGGACCTATATTCTATATATGTAACAAGTATGTCCCAGGCCCTAATTGAAACCTCGGCTGCCTCTGTGATTATTCATCATGGAGCACATGCTCAGGCCAACTATATGTGACTCCTTTCTCTGGGAGAGCAGTTTTTGCATATTAATTTAAGAAAAATGTAATTAAGAAAGTAGCTGCCACAGCACACGAGGTTTACTAGATAATTACCACATATCAAGTGCTAAATATATACCAAACATCAGGCTGAGTACGTTAACATTCAGTGTCTTAGTTAAATCTCAAGGTAAATAAGAGACTGATATTAACATCTTATGGTTTTACAAGAGGAAATGTCAGTGTAAACTTAAAAACTATCACACGATATTGTCTGTCCATTCAAGTGGACAATTAAGACTTGTTTTTACCATGCTGGGGGTCACCACTAGCATAATAAAAGTGATAATCAATAAAAATGATAAGCCTAACCAGAGAAAGATGAACTAACTATCCAATTCTAAGTTCTCACGTGAGGTTCAGCGGAAGCATTTCTGCCACAATGACAAACACCTGTGCCTGGGATGACGTGGTTGCAGCAGAATGAAGTGAAAAACACAGGGTTTATGGGACATGCAGAATTGGGCAAACCAATCAAAACCTTTAGAACTGAGCATCAAGATCAGTGTCAACCCAATCGCAATTTTTAAATGCTTGACATATTTTCATTCGCATTACAGCAAATACTGGTTAGTGGGAAAGGGAAGCTTTAAGCCTTCCGCTCCCTTCTCACAGGGAATAGGTGGGCACTTTCAATGGTACATTCTTATTGAGAATTCTTTCTTCATCGTTGATTTTTTTTTTTTTAAAGGAATGTCTTTGTAGCTGTTAATCTACACTCACAGTGAGCGGAAACATTAGCAATCATAAATGTTGTTAAAAAGACACTCAGTAAGTCACTAACTGTAGGGACTTTTGCAGGATCATCAATTTTTTTCTAGGTCTTCTTATTTTAATAAGCTTTTTCCTTTAATGTAAAATACACCCAAAGAAATGCACAATATTAAGCATAGAGAGCACATCTGTGTAATCAACCAAGATCCACGAACAATACTGTAGTGTCCCACCTGAAGACACTTTCTTCCCTATAATAACCACATCCCTGGCTTGCAATACCATAGATTAGCTTTGCCAGTTCTTGAACTTGATATAAATTGAATCAGACAGCCTGCTTTTGGATTTGGTGTCTTGTTTAGCACTGTTTGCAAGTTTCATCCATGTTGATGTAGATATGAGCGGTTTATTTATTATTCTTTCTCTGGAGTGTTCATTGTATAAATATTTTTTTAAAGATTTATTTATTTATACTAGAACCGGGGTATAGGCCAGATGTGCGGGAGGGTGAGAAAATTCACCAGAGACAGAGCAGGGAACAGATGCAATACAGGCAGACTGATGCAATACACTGCTGAGGGGAGCTGCGGGCGAGACAGGAGAGGTCTGCAGCGCCAGGTGGGACCCTCGCCGGCAGGCTTCACAGCGCAGCGCTCAACTGCCTGCGCCACCAGCGGATGCCCTCATTGTATAAATATTTAACAATTTAGTTATCCCTTATTTTTATTGGGCATTTATTTGTATTATTTTCATTTCTTGCAATGAATGCTGATGGAACATGTAAACGAAAATATCTCCCAATGATTTCTATTATGTACACGTAAACTTTTTTTTTAATGATTTCTGATATGTACACATAAACATTTTTTTTTTTTAAGATTTATTTATACGAGCACTCGGTACAGTCAGAAGCTCAGGAGGGTGAGAGAATTCACCAGAGCCAGAGGGGAGAGCAGAACAGGCAGACCAACGAAATGCGCTGCTGAGGGGAGCAGCGGGCGGCAGGAGAGGTCTGTGCGCCATGTGGGACTCTCGCCTGGTGGCCGGGGATCGAACTGGCACTGCAGAGGCTGCGGGCAGCTTCGCAACCCAGCGTTCAACCACTGCGCCACCGGGGACGCCCTACACGTAAACATTTCTGTTGGGTGTGTTCACATATGGTAGAGTTGATCAGGGTGTGAGTATGATCAGTTTTAATATGTAGTACTTTTTCCCCATTGGTTGTGCCATTTAAATTTGCATTAGCTATGTGTGAAAGTTTTCATGGTCCACATCTCCAGAACCTTATTTATTTGTGATCATATCATGGGAATATATAATGCAGATTAAAACATACACACAAATACAGATACACAGCTTAATAAACTATATAACATAAATATGTAATCACTGCTTTGGTTAAGAAATAAAATTTTGTCATTTCAAATTTTTTATTATTATTACCTTCCACTTTCTCCCCCCAAATTAATCACTTTCCTGACTTAATACAGAGTTCTAATAATGATAATGACAATCTTTTAAGCCCAAATATTTATCTACAAACGCTATAATTTAATTTTGCACATTTTTTATTTTTAATTTTTTACAAGAAAAATAATTTGATGTCTGTGTTTCAGTGAGAGTTAATGTCTATGCTTTAAGGATATTAAACATATTCCTATGTTTATCTTTGTACATAGGAATATCCAGTGTTCTATCATCTTTTGTGAAAAGACTAGTGTTTCTCCACTGAGTTATTTTTGAGATTTTGTAACAAAATCAATTGACCTTACATGTGGGGATTTATATACTTCTGTTTATTAGGTTCTTACAATTTTTTTCTCATCAATGTAATACAATTTTCTACAGACATTTCTGGCTCATACTTTATCAGATTTATTGCTAAATATTTCTCATTTTTAGTGCTATATCTGGTGCTATTTTGATTGGAACTGTTTTGAATCTATAGATCAATTTAGGGAGAATTGACAACCAGCAATATTGAGTTGTCTGATTCATAAACATGTATTTCACTTCATTTATTTTTCATTTATTTTGTTCTTAATTCTTCTCATCAACATTTTACAGTTTTCTATGTATAGATTTTATACATTTTTTTTGTCAGACTTATACTTAAGAACTTCATATTTTTCATGGTATGAAAAATGGTATTTTGTTATTTCACTTTTTTGATTGTTCATTGCTCATATGTGAAGACTTAATTTAAAAAAAATATTTATTGATTTTTGAGTAGAAGAACTGGGGTGTAGGACAGAGGTGCAGCACGGGGTGGGGTGGTGAGAGGATTAACTAGAGAGAGAGTGGGGAGCAGAACAGGTGGATCTATTGAAATACACTGCTGAGGGGAGCACTGCGGTGAGACAGGAGAGGTCTGCTGCGCCATGTGGGTCAGCTTCCTGGCTGGGGATCAAACTCAAGCCACAGTGGCTGTTGATAGCTTGAGAGCTGAGACTTTAACCCCTGCACCACCAGTTAGGCCCCCCAAATCTTTCTGTTTCCTGTTCAGTATAATTATATTTGAGAACATATTTTGTATGTTCTTAATTCTTTTAAATTTATTAAAACTTGCTTAATGATCCATAATATTGTTTGTTTGTAACTTTCCCAATTGTCTATACAAATCAATATTTAACCAATATAATCTTCTCTGAAATAGTGTCTTGCTTATAATTTCACCTTTGCTGGAGTCTTGCTCCCTCCTCCCTCCCCCCATGTTGGCTAAAGGCTTCATTGGGGTGGGGACCACATTAAGTTGTCCTGCACCTCCCATCTCACTTAGGGCTAGTTATACTTCAAACACACATCTACTGCTCTTTTCAGTTCTTTAAATTATTGTAAATGAAAGTTTCTTACCTGGAAGGGACGGACACCTTGTAAGATCGGCTCAGACCTTATCTGCAGCTCATCACCAAAGTATCCCTTATTCTCCACGCCCAGCGTGTCTCCAGGTGGGCTGCTAAAGATAAAATTGAACACTGACACAAGCTGCAGGTTAAGTCTGTGGTTCACATTAAATCATCTAGAAGACTTTAAAAATACTGCTTATACTCTATAGCAATTAAATCTGAGGGAAGAAGCAAGCAACATTTTCTTTGAAAAACGCCCTTAAGATCTCAGTGTGCTGTGAAGTTTGGGAACATTTGTATAAGAACAAAATATGTAGGAGCTTGATTTACAGCTGCTCTGATCTGGATTCCAGGAGGAGACTTTTACTTTTCCCCATCAAGAATCCTCTATGAAAAGTAAAAGTCTCCTCCTGGAATCCAGATCAGAGCAGCTGTAAATCAAGCTCCTACATATTTTGTTCTTATACAAACGTTCCCAAACTTCATAGCACACTGAGATACACAATGGAATATTACTCAATAATCAAAAAAGATAAACACATGCAGTTTGCAGCAACATGGATGGAGCTTGATGGGATCATGTTCAGCGAAATAAGTCAGAAAAAAAAGAAAAATACCAGATGGTCCCACTCATAGCAGGAATTTAGAAAACCTAATAAAGGACCGGGAAAAAGATTAATTAATACAAAATAAACATCAAAATCAACAAGCAACTATAAACCAGAGACACACTACGAAGGAGGGGGGGTGGGGAGAGGAAGGATTAGGGTCAAAATAAGGGGGGTGGAATTGTACGGGGAATATAACCAAAATGAAAATGCATACATTGTGCAAAAATGAAAAATGATGTAAGAATTATATAAAATATTAAAAAAAGAAAAGAAAAAAAGAATCCTCTATGGCCTCAAAGCCTATAAAGTTTCACTAACAGTCCCTTCAACATGTAGAAAAATAAAGACATACCTCTGAATTTGCTTCAACTTAATGCACTTTTGGTGACGAATTAATAATGCAACACTCCCAACACCAATAATAACCAGGACGAGCACAACCACCAGGATGGAGATATCTGCCAAGTCAAATCATGAGCTTGAGACAAGATGTGAACTTTAGGACCTTGGCATGTTAGTATTTAACTGAACTGTTACAAGTTTGCTTTCTGTTCCTTAATGGACTTTTATTCCCCATATACTAATTTTTTATATAAACTAAAAACTGGTACTCTACCTACCATTCCATTATGCATAAGGGAACCACAACCAGCAGGAAAGATTTTGCCTGATTGTCAATTACTGACTATCGAAATGGCCTTGCTGTGTGATTCTTTGAAAACCTAATACAAATTTAACTAGAACATATATTAATTCTAAAAAGCAAATGCAGTAAATCCAAATTTGAGTTTTTAATATGCAAATAATAAAAATGCTATTCATAGAGAAACAACACACATAGATTTAAAAAATAAGAAAAAAGCTTTTTCATTAACTAAGCTTTTGAAATATGCAAGATATTATATTTTTGATGCTCACTGGTAATACTTAAACTTTCTTCCCAGTAGGCAGGTGCTTGTTCTTCCTCACACTGACACTTGAATTTATGGTCACCCACCTGCAGGAGAAGTCAATCACATTATTTTCTCAAATGGGAGATATAAGCTATATTTTACACTTTACTTAGCACACACAAACTGTTTATTCATTTTGTTAGCCAAGCTGTGTACTAACATTGATGTTGGAGACAAACAAACAAATATGGAGGCACCACTTTTGAAGATGGTCTTTGAGTCAGAGAATGACTCTGATAAATTTCAAACCAGATGAACAAGATGGCTTACTCATCTTTCCAGAGGCACCAGTACTAAGCGAATAGTTAGAGCGGGACATTCCCAGTCATAGAGTAGACTCTAACTAAGCTTAGTGATATACAGAATACAATGATGTGGCAAAAAGTGATGACTCATCAAGAACATTACATAATTGTTAAGAGCACACTCTCCAGGGCCTCCCCTGGTGGCACAGCTGTTGAGTGCTGGGCTGCGAGGCTGCTCACAGCCTCTACAGTGCCGGTTCGTTCCCTGGCCAGTCATCTTTCTGGTTCAGACCTTTGCTTTCCTCCCACACAGCATCATTGTGCCTAGTTCTGCCTCTGTAAAAGTGCATGTAAGAATAGCACTTAGGCTTCACTTATTTTCATTTTACTTTACTTAAGGGATTTTTACCCTCATTATATCTTAATTTATTGATTTATAATTTCTACTGTATTATATTTTTACAAAGGTAATAAAAGGTTTACAACATTGTATATGAATCAGTGTATATATTCACATATCTTCAACAAACTCACTTTCAAAGTTGATGTGAAATTTACTTGAAATACTATCTGACAAATGTACAACTTCATATATTTACTTATTAATCAACCTTAGGGAAGGTGTTTCCACAAAAACAAGCCACAAGTAGCTGCTAGTTTTGGACAGTATTGGACAGTACTGAGTTAAAAAATGTATTTTTTTGTTTTTTTTCCCTCAAAAGTTTGAGGCTAATATTGACATTGGTATAATTGAACTGCAAGTGAGCTCATGATAGATCCAACTTTAAACTTTAGATTAAACTTCATCTGTATACAAATTATTGATTTTCTCGATTACCAGTTCAGTAATAAAATTTATATCTACAATACCAGTAATATCTATGTGCAATACTTGATTTGACTCTTTGGATCAGTTTTGGTCAAACTTGAAAAAATGAATCTTAAATATATATATTTGATCTTAAAATAATCACAATAAACACAGAGAGACTCAGGATGAAGTCCTAAGCACAAAAACTACGAGTTTAAAATGGAGTCAAATCTTACAGCATAATCATCGCACTGAGAGGAGCAACTGGTTGAACTGTAGGCGTTTTCAATATGCACACATTCACTATCGATGCACACCTAGAAATGAAATAGCAAGTATGAATTAAAATGGCCTGTCTTGACAATTGACATATTTTTTTTTGTATTGTGAAAAACCATATGTAGACTTTTCTTGGGAGAAAGATATCCTCCATTAACGTTTGGTGTATATCTGATAATAATACCAGTCTTTGTACTGAAATCTTTCATGTTTGTTGTTTGTGCTCTTGCTTCTCCCTGTGGAATGGATTTTTATGTACATGACTGAACACCGGCACACACTATTTTCAAACACATGTTGATCTTCCAGTATTTCAGACTCAACTAAGTGGAATTATTGAGATATATATTATTTTGTCTTTTTTCCCCCTTATAAGAACCTTTACTTAATAATTAATTTTCAAATAATTTACAGCTTAAAGTGTTACAGTCTTTCCTTATACAAAACAACAAAAACATTGTCACTTGATGTTGCCACGTTTGTATATACAATAAAGGAGACAATTACAAAGAGAGTTTTGCAACAACTCAAACACATATTGATTATACCACTATGAAAAATACTTGTATTGGGCCTCCCCGGTGGCGCAGCGGTTGGGCGCTGGCTTGCAAAGCTGCCCGCAGCCTCTGCAGCGCCGGTTCGATCCCCGGCTGCTCCCCGGCCACCCGAGGAGGGTCCCACACGGCGCGCAGACCTCTCCTGCCGCCCGCTGCTCCCCTCAGCAGTGTGTTTCGGTCCTTCTGCCTGCTCTGCTCCCCGCTCTGGCTCTGGTGAGTTCTCTCACCCTCCGGCACTTCTGACTGTACCCAGTGCTTGTATAAACAAACAAATAAATAAACAAACAAATAAATAAATAGATTCATTAAAAAAAAAGAAAAATACTTGTATTGGATTATAATGTTATATTTAATTAAATCTATGAAATTCTCAAGTACATTCATCTTTGTATCATCAGTGTCCAGTGTCATCACTGAGATCATGTAGAAAATATGGCTGAGTGAATAAAATAAATGAAGAATGTATGGCTATTTCATAGTCAATTAAAAGATTATGTCAAAATTCCATTAGATGACTACTGTCTGATACTAATAAAGCCCATTTATAATATTTATATATTTTATATAGCAGAGATTAAGTAAAATGAACATTTAATGTAGTGTTATTACTACTCTGTTCAATTTTAAACAGTTCGCAATTTTTTTCTAGTCCCATATAGGCCACCTGAAACCAATGACAGGATCCAGTGTTTCAATATGGTTGAACCAAGAAATTGTTTTTTTTTAAAAAAATATTTGTTTATTTATGCATACAAGAGCTGGGGTACAAGCCAGAGATGGGGGTGGTGAGAAGATTCACCAGAGACAGAGTGGAGAACAGAACAGGCAGACTGACTGAAACACACTGCTGAGGGGAGCAGCAGGCGAGTCAGGAGAGGTCTGCTGTGCCAAGTGGGTTGCTCCCTGGCTGGCTGGGGATCGAACTCATGATGCAGAAGCTGCGGATTGCTTCATAGTGCAGTTTAATCCCTTGCACCTCCAGGAAGGCCCTGAACTATGAAATTTTAATAAAGCAAGGTGCTTCCATATTACCTTTCCATCTCCACATTTAGTTCCAGGAGCAACCAGGCCAACATCTCCATAATTGTGCTCTGAAAGGGCTTTGCATTCAGCGGTGCTATTCTGCTTTTTAACTGTCTTGAGGTGATCAATTTCTTCTTCCTCAAGAAGAGATGGGAGCTGCTTTCTGGTGCAGTGTAGTTTTCCACATTTGACATCTCTGAAAGAAAGAGAGATATCCTCGTACCTGAGACTAGAAATAGAACTTTAGAGAGTAAGCAGGCAGCAAGTAGCCAGGTCAATATTTCCAGAGGCAGGCTTATCAGTAGGCTGTGGAGGGGCCAGAAAACCCAAGGTAAATTATTAAATGAAGTCCTGTAATTTACCTACCATAAAATGGCAGGTACAAATGTAAATGATTGTATTTCTCTGACATCTCTATAATTGTCACAAATCAATATTAGCTCCAACTTACAGAAGAATAGTTCTTATTCATGATTTAATTAGCATAACTATAATCAGGACATTATGATTCTTGTATAGAGCAAGAAAGAGTCTCATTAATTGATTCTGACATAAACCCATGCTGTTGTTATTATAAGACCCTTTTACAGATTAAAGAGCAGTTGGAAGTTAAGAGGCTGCCTGTTTCCACCTAGTATATTTAGATTTTGATTTTGATTGTAGGTTTCATTATTGTTTTCAGTCAAAATCCTGTTTTATGGCACACAAAAAAGCCTTGCAGAATATTAGTAACAAATCAGATTCAGCTCTTGCTTTTTAAAATTAGACCTAGGGCCTCCCTGGTGGCGCAGCGGTTGAGTGCTGGGTTGCAAAGCTGCCCGCAGCCTCTGCGGCGCCGGTTTGATCCCAGCTGCTCCCCGGCCACCGGAGGAGGGTCCCACATGGCGCGCAGACCTCTCCTGCCGCCCGCTGCTCCCCTCAGCAGTGTACTTTGGTCCTTCTGCCTGCTCTGCTCCCTGCTCTGGCTCTGGTGAATTCTCTCACCCTCCCGCGCTTCTGACTGTACCCAGTGCTTGTATAAATAAAACAAACAAACAAACACACAAATAAATAAATAAAATAAACATGCCTCTATTAAAAATAAATAAATAAATAAAATGAGACCTAGCTACCAATCCTCCCATTCTCTCTTCCAATTTCATCTTCTACCTTTTATTATGGCTTCTCTTCTTTCCTTCCTTTTCCTCTTTTCTAATCTACCCAGTCCTCCTTTTGCTTTCTTTTATTTCTTAGTAAATTATTTTCCTTCTTTTTTTAAATCTCTTAAGATATTCAGTCTTTCCCATCTTCCATCCTATATCCCATGGCCGGTAGCTCATGTGCTGTATGTAGCTCATAGCTGCAGCACATAAATGTCAGTTGGCTCTGCTGGGGCAAGTGCTCCCCCCTTCCCTTTGTTGCTAATCTTCTCAATAAAAAGAGGTCAGCAGTGGTCAGAACAAAAGCTGTTCTGATTTTGGAAACACTTCTTAGAGGACACTAATATTTCTTGATTAGGCACTTACTTTTCCTCACAGGGAATTAATCCATTTTTCTTGTTTTTGCAGTATCCAAATTTATTTCCTTTTTTATTCATCTTGTAACAGTTATCAAGACTGTCTTTTGCCTCTGGGATCCAAAGTGATGTGATAAGAGTAAAACAACAAAAGCATGAATAGTCTGAATGTTGATACATCTTATTTTTAAACATAAATAATAAAATTATTAAATAAAATAATTAAATTACAGCATCATGGTAGTGAAATATAATGTGATAAAATAATATTTAAAAACTATTCTATTGTTATAGGAGGATATTTTAAGGACTGTTAATATGAATAGTAATAAACATCTTAACACACATAGTGAGCTAGTCAATTACTATTAGAGGTAAGATTGATGACCGTTTAAGGAAATATCCAGAGAGTGGTAGGTCATATTTTGGAAGAATCTAACCAATGGCATTATCTCCAATTTGCCCCAATTTCCTATTGGCCAGCAGTGAGAAATAGAGGCTGCTATCTTTATCATTCACTCTCTCTCACCGTCATTAAACAATTCAGAGCACTGATCATCCCGGGTGGGACATTTCCCCATGAAGCAGTAGCCCTTTGCATCCTTGCAAGGAAATCCATTCACTTGGAATTGATCCTGAGGGCATCCAGAGGAGGAGCCAGTGCACACTTCAGGAAAATCACATTCATCTTTTGCGGGTCTGCAAACGGACCCTTTTTCTTTGAGCTGGTGAAGAAAAACAGAGACTGAATCTTGGATACATTTAGGTATGTACAACTCAGTAAACTGGAGGATAGTTGATCGACTTAATTGATCTAAAAGAGGTTTGAAGGATGCATCATGATTTCCTTTTCCATTTTTCCAAGAATTATTATTATTTATAACTATCTTGACTTTTAAGCAATTTTAGGAATGGCAAGACAGTGTCTTAGAAAGTTAGTGTGAGAATAGCCTTGGACAGAGTTGGGATGGACATAAATTGGAGAAAGGAGGAAGTGCCTGATTTGTCTGTTCACCTTGTCTTCTTCATCCCTTGGTCCAGAACTTTGATTCCCACACTCCTGGAAACCCCTGCCTATGATGAGGAATTCACATGCACAGGAAATCCAATCTTTATATATGAACTAGAGAAATACCCTGGCAGTCACTGCTGGAGAGAACTACATGCAAATATTCTCATTCAGCCACTCACTGTGCTGGGCTCTGGAAAAATCTGAAGATGGTTAAGACATGCTTCCTTTCCTCTGTTGAGTTCACAATCTAGCAGGTGAAAAAGTTGTCAATGAGCCTCTGGAGCTAGCCATTTGGATTCTGGTCATTTCCCCTTATGTTTAGTGACCTGTTGTTAGGATGCTGATTTTACCTGACAAGATGCACAGCATTCTCCTTCTGCACAAGTAAATCCTGGCTTCAGCATACATTTTTGTGCATCACAGCAAGGATTAGTGCACTCCTGACAATAACAGAAAAGTGAAGATCAGAAACTGGTTTGTAGTTTAACTCCTATGTGAAGACTTAATTAGTTGTGCTTCTGTATAATTTGGCAATACTTGTCTTTCTGAGTTAAATAAAAATGCATAATCTTTGGTTATGGTATGTACATAAAGTAAATACAAACACAACATATGCATATGTAATATAAACATATATGCACACATATAATACATATATAGCACAAATACATAGCATATGTGTCTGTGTCTGTGTGTACATATATATGTATGTACACATAGCAACTGTTGTTGGGGCTTTTGTTTCTTTTCTTTTTCTAGGGCTGTTCTGTACTCCACAGATAATTCTCATTTTCAGCAAAGTTTGAAGATTGTGACTTTCTCTTTTCCTGATGACTTCTGTTGTGCAAGGGTCCTACTGTTTTGTCACCCAGAGGGTTTAATAAAGCAACTTCTGAAGATTTGGTTTTACACTTTGTTCAAAGATGTTAAGTATTTCAAGTTGCCCTTTCTTTTTTTATTTTTTTAATACATCATTAAATAATAACAGCAGGATGGATGCTTGGGGCCTACCTTCTCAAAAGAAATGAAAAAATGGAAAAAAAGTGTCAGCATCCTGCAATGTAAGCTACTTTATGTTAGAATAAAACTGTAGAATCATTTCGAAGAATGCGCAAGGAAAAGGAATTTGCAAAGTTAAGACATTCTTCTCATTTAATCTGAGACATTTTAAGATCAGATCTTGTAGCTGACAGACACATTTCTGTTCCCACTCTGACCAGGGACTGTCTTAATCACTATCCTTCTGGGCCACTTTGGAATGCAAGTGTCTAAGCGTAGATGCTAAAATGTGATACTTGGACCAGCAGCATCAGCATAACCTGGCAACATGGTGGGGATGCAGGGCCTCAGCCCCACTCCAGACCTGCTGAATCACAATCCACATTTTAATATGCACTGGTGATTTATATGCACTTGACAATTTGAGAGGTGATTGTCTAGGACTTCTTAATGAGCTCTTGAAAGAAACTGCTTCTATGTTGGAGAAAAGCAAATTTAGAGTTACTTTAAAATGTTGGCTTATTTGAAATATCTAGAGACCAGTAACTATGTGAAGATTAAAAGTTTTCTACTCAGTTTAAGATAGAATTTTCTGATAATGTGAACTGTCCAACTAGGGTGTAAGTTAGGCACGGGCACCCTGAGTAAAATTTGGTTAAGTGTCTATGAGTGGATTTTTAGATCAAATTCCTACTGTACATAAGAGAAAGACTTACTGACACCTATGGATCATTGTCAAAAGATGAGCCAGTGACTACATTTATGAGGCAAATGGGATTCTGTGACTTTGCAGCAATGAGATCATTATACACGATCTGTGACTTGGCAAAAAACTTTGAATTAGACTGCACCAACATTTTGTTTCTCAATGAGAACAAAAGCACAGGTTTTTTTTTTTTTCTTTCAAAAATCCATGCTAATGTAGATATTATACTTTATAACCCTATAAATATAAACACAAATGCTTAAGGGAACTTTCTTTAGATAATCTGAAAAAGTGTTCATCAAAATAAATTTTCAGACCAGAGAACTGAATCATAATTCAAAGCAAATCTCCACTGATAATTGGAGAATTATCCCCCTAGCTATTTTAAAGCTTTCTGTTAGTTCACATACTACACTCATCCACAGCAGATTTTTTGAAAAAAACTGTACAAGTAGTACCATGGTTCATTAATGCCTGTATCCCTGCCTAGATTCTAGATGAACATAAATTTTCTAATTGAAAGACAACATCATTTGGAAATACCTGAATAGAGCCACAATCACATTCTTCGCCCTCATCCAACTTCTTGTTTCCACAATATGAGAAATCATGGAACTTATCAGAAAATGGTATATTGATCATGCATGTTGGATTATAATCTTTCAGGAACTGCAGAAACTGGTTTCTGCTGCATTTACTGAATTTTAGTGCAGGAATGCTAGAGATAGGATGATTTTAAAAATAAAGGTTAATCATATCATGTAGAACAGCCATGAAAGTTTTATGATGAATTTATAAAGAATAAATTACATGTTGAGTTCTAAAAGTCCATTTATTTCTCTCACTTTACCTTACTATTATAACAGAGTAATAACTGGGATCTTTACTATTGAAATATCTTACTGAAATACAGTCAACACTGTATTAGGATATAGTGAAAATCCTCTGACTTTATATCTTCCAGAAAAGTCTCACAGTTCAGACTCCCATGCATGCTGCATTCATAACACTTTTCATCTTTTGCTCTTGAAGTAATTTACATATTTATTAACCATCCTTGCAAGATTATAAGCTTCTCAATGCAGGAAATATAGCATGTTCAATAAAAAATAAACATTAGCTAACATAGTCCTGACATAGGGTATTCTCTATAAACATTTTCTGAAACAAGACAGTTATTTAACAATATTTCATACATCCTAGGGATTGAGGCACTTCCTTTATTTTTTTTTTTTTTAAGATTTATTTATTTATACAAGAACCGGGGTACAGGCCAGATGTGCGGGAGGGTGAGAGGATTCGCCAGAGACAGAGTGGGGAACAGAACAGGCAGACTGATGAAACACATTACAAGTATGCAGAAGCACTGATCATTACCTACTCTTTTTTATTATGTGCAATGCGCTAAGTCTGCCTTGTGTGGAGGGTTTTAAAGATGTGCAAGTTTTAAAGGGTGACTGCTGGTAATTCATAGTATGAAGAGACAATGTTGGACATTAATTCATTTTCTAATAATTTGTGGAAGATCTAATATGTACCTGGAATGTTCCAGACAGGGGTGATAGGACAATATAGTATCTGTTTGATACCACAAAGCTTATCTTCTAGTGGGGAAGTAAAATAACAAAAAGCTAAATGCACAAAACACAGGAAGGAAAGCAAAGCGAAAGGGAATTAATGGGATGGATAATACAAGGGTATGTGTGTGTAAGGTGCCAGGATTATAAAATTAGATCACATCACTTGGGAAGGTTTAGTTGAGAATGGCATTTAAGAATATTCAAAGAAGGAATTATAATTTATAGCAAAGATGACAAAATAAAGCATATAGAGTATATTTCTCCCCTAAATTGCTGTGTATAATTACTAATTGAGTATTATGTATTTTTGCAGTATGTTCAGATGGAGTTTTAGAGTTTCTCTCACCATATCACAGGAGAGACATTGTCAACTAATAAGATTAAATCTCAAAGGGAAACATCTTACCTTGCCTAGTTCTGTAATAGACCTCCCATTATATAAAAGAAACACTTCCACGTAGTAGCACCATATCCCCACTATATGCAGTTTTAATCAAAAACTACTCTCAAAATATTTAAATGTACTTTCCATGTTGTTTGAGCCTTACGTTCCACTGGTATCCATCACACATTTTCCCAAAGTGCAGGTACAGGGGTAATTATCATGTTGCATCCCCAGGTTGTGCCCCAGCTGATGGGCTATTCTGCTTGCAACTATATTCAGGTCAGGTATAAGATCCTAGTGCAAAACAAAAAAATTAAGCATCAGAACTTTATAATAAATAATGCAGTGTAATACACAGTGCTTTGAACTAGTGGTTTGGAGACTTGGTTTCCAGCTTCCAGTTAACTAGTACTCTCTGTAGCATAGAATGGATTGGGTAGAGACACTAAAGAAAATAAATCCAAAACTTGATGTTTTCAAGGATTTGAGTGTTTACAGACTTAGTTTCCCCCCTTTTCTGCACATCAGTCTATTTTTAATTGTATAAAATTTGGGCAAATGACATTTTCAGTATCTCTAATTCTAACATTTTGCATTTTTCTGTGGGACAGTAAAGGTCATTGTTGGATTTGTATAAACTCATTCTTACAAATAGATAAAAATTCTTAACTAACGTCCTACACAATAAAATAAACATCATTCCTTCTATAGACCAGATATTCAAATGGGGTAAAAATAAATAGATGTGAGGTTCATATTTTTGATGGTAATCTCACTTATTCAGCAATGTTATGTTCACAATTTCCATTATGAGGAAAACCTGAGGGTCAGTGATGTAAAGTCCAAGTCAGCGTTGATATTTTACCTCTATTTGTAGCTCTCATTCATGTTTTAAACTCTGTATTACTGACAGCAATTAATTTCCAAAAACGAGTTGGATATTAAGTTATTGTAAAGGTAAAACACTCTAAATTGATGATTTGTCTCATTTCATGTGAAGTTTAAAAAATATGGTTTATAATATCATAATTAGAGAGGTAATGGTCTATATTAGATTGTTTTGACTTCATTATGCAAGTTTATATTAATAAAATACTGTAGGCTAAAAATAATTATTTAAGATTGAGGTCTTAGCAAGACTGGGTTGAGCACAGAAACAACTAGGCAGAAGCACTACAGGAAATAAATCCAAAACTTGATATTTTAAAGAAATTTTTAAATAGGGCTAACTGGACAGCATTTACTAGAAGCTTAGTAACTTGGGAAAGATCAGGTAAGCAAAGGGAATCAACTGTGTGTAGCTCTTATGCGTGTTGTTTTTTTTTTTTGTCTTATGCCTTTTTAAAAACAATTACAAGGCTACTTTGATAGGATATGTCAAGTGGTTTATGCACCTGATTCTCATCCAGTAATAATTATCCTCACTTGCTAAATCAGCCATCAAGCTTTGCATACAATACATGTCCTTATAAATAACTGCATTAAATATACAAAAACGTTATTCCATAAGAACTACTAATCTTTGTATGTTAATCTGTATCTGATGTTTTAAAACACTGAACAACACTGGTTTACCTTTATTATTCCTCTATTGTTTTTTATAAAATGTTTCTTTTTTTGTTAAATAAAGGAGACATGAATTTCATCATGACATATTTTGGTGGAGATATATGACAAAAATGTATACATGCTCTCTTTCAATAGAAAATTACATAAAAATTTAATTCAAATGTTTTGATTAAGTGATATAACATCAATCAAAGGAAGCCCACCTTAACAACACTAGAGGAGGAGTAGGGCAGGCACATACCACCTGAGTAAGAAGTTCCTTGTGCATGTTTGTAGAGCCACTTCCCACTGTAACAGATGCAAATATACTCTTCAATATGAAATATGAGCTTGATTAACACAAAGATTGAATCACAATGAACCCCTAAATTCTAGTATCTTTGTACATGAAAGTACCTTCTTTTTCTGGCATTCTGGAATTGAGGATGACCTTCGCTGATCTTAAAGTCTTTTTAAATTAGTGGTATATTAAACATTTTAAGGGCTTTCAAAGAAATGCTAATAGATTCCATTACTCCAAAGTAGTTCTTCCATAATTTAATATTCCTCAGGATAGCAGGACTGCATGAAATGCAGGGTTGAAGCCAGTTCAGCGACACTATTTTTTATTATTTCCCTTTAGGGTAAATAAAGTGCTAAGGTTGTTGAATAACAAAAATGATAAAAATGCCTCCCTTTTAGGAATTAAAATATCTAGTATTCTAAATAAATCCATTTTTTTTCTTAGGAATATTAAAAGAGTAGCAGTTTTAGTTTATCAGGTTAGTTATTCATTATCTTGAATAGTGGAGACATTGTTCTTGAAGGCTGGTCAGTAGATGGGTACACTTTGATGAAGAATGATGTCCAGAGGATGAGGTGTTTCCCAGCAAGGTAGGTTTCGGTGGGTGTATTGTAATGGCATGTTATGGAAGAATGAGGGTAGTTAGTGTTGGATACTGGTCAGTAAAGTAAATGGATTCTAACAGCATTTTGCTTACGTAGTGACATTTTCAATCTTGCCTAGGAATATGAATATAACATTTTTTCCCTTTCTAGTATGAATCACTATAGAAAGAAAGATTATTAAAAAGTGCATTTGCAAATTTTCTTTATAGTTAGAACCAGTGTTTTGTTTTGTCCCTGTGTACTACCCAAAAGTTGACTGCTTAAAAAAAAAAGTTTGTTGTTGCTGTTCATCTGTTTTTGTTTCTGTTTTAATAATCCAAATAAGGTGTGTGGAGAAATAGAGTAGTTACATACCTGAGTAACAGAACATGATCAAAATTCTTCCTTTTTTTAAGGATTACTTCTTGCCAAGCAGAAAAACGCTTTAAGGTCGTTTCTAAATTTGCATCTATTTCTATCTTATCTCCATTTGTCCACATTTCAATGCCAACTAGTGTCACATGAATATCCAAAGTTTTATAAATCTGTTCAAAGGAGAAAATATTATTCATAAAGTCACATTGTGGAAGGCTCTTTCATCACTACTATATTTTTACATTAAAAAGTAATTTTAATGTGTGAGGCACATAAGTAAAAAAACAAGTCTTCATTTTACAACAGGTATATTGAATTCTGGTGAATTACCATGGCCAACAAAGTAACATGAGTAGAACCATTAGATTTTCCTTGAACTATAAGCTTTTCAGACACTGGGCTCAGGATTCCACTGGCAAACAGTGGAATGAATATCCATTATTCATTTCTCCGTTTTAGCACATGAGTTGGTTGTGGTAGGTTAGAAAGTTGATGGTGATTTTGTTTTATTTTTTTAAGATTTATTTATTCATGCATACAAGAACCAGGTACAGGTCAGATGTGCAGGAGGGTGAGAGGATTCACCAGAGACAGAGTGGGTAACAGAACAGGGAGACTGACTAAAATACACTGCTGAGGGGAGCAGTGGGTGAGACAGGAGAGGTCTCCTGCATCATGTGGGTATCTCCCTGGCTGGTGGGGAACTGAATCCGCACTGCAGAGGCTGTGGACAGCTTCACAGCACTGCACTGAAGTGCCTGCACCACCGGGGAGGCCTGATAGTGATTTTAAAACATACATTAACTTTCATACTTGTTCTCCATGTTTGATTTTTTGGGAGCATTTTGTTATCTAATAAATCTTTTTTTTTTTTATTTAATAGAGGCATGTTTATTTATTTATTTGTTTGTTTGTTTTGTTTATACAAGCACTGGGTACAGTGAGAAGCGCGGGAGGGTGAGAGAATTCACCAGAGCCAGCGCGGGGAGCAGAGCAGGCAGAAGGACCGAAGTACACTGCTGAGGGGAGCAGCGGGCCACAGGAGAGGTCTGCGCGCCATGTGGGACCCTCACCCAGAGGCCGGGGAGCAGCTGGGGATCGAACCGGCGCCGCAGAGGCCGCAGGCTGCTTCGCAACCCAGCACTCAACCGCCGTGCCACCGGGGAGGCCCTCTAATAAATCTTATTAAGGTTTGTTAAAAGCAGAAGAAACAGTTGTAGCCCATAACTCTTCTCACTCTGTTTCCCTTCTACTTTTGCAAACATTTAATGATAGATACTTTGTATTTATGCTAAATTTGGTGATGGGAACTCAAAGAGCAAAAATGGGTCTTTATATTGGATCACTGTTAGGGTAGTGATAGACATTGCAAGACATATGAAGTAGGTAACACAGGTGGCTATGAGATACAATCACTCTATTTCATACTGTTGCTACCTTTTAGAAAAAGTAATGTATTTTGAGCTCCCATAATCTCAGATTTAAATTTGGGAGGAGTTCTACTTCTGGCTAAAATGGACAAGTTAAAGAATATATCTAGTTACCAATAGGTTTAATACTTACCTTTTTTTCTTTCCAGATACACATGGACATTACCCAAGTACACAGAATCTGCTAGAGTAGATTAACCATAAAACAAACCCTGACATATTTATAACAATGGAATAAGCAATCATATTTTCTAAGTACAACAGAAATAAAATTCGAAATCAATAACATAAAAATACATTAAAAATCTCCACTTACTTGGAAATTAAATAACGCAGTTATATATAAAACTACTGAAACAAAGAGGAAGTCATAAGGGACATTAGAAATAGTTTTGAATTGAATGAAAATTGAATATAAAACATGTGAGAACCAGTTAAACCTATATGAGACTCAGCATTCTTAGTCATTAAAAAAAATATGAGTTTATTTTTGAACATAGATGTGTATACAAATTTTAAAGAAATTTTATCCATTATAATAAAAAACTATAAATAGAACAAATATCCTTCAAATGGCAAGTAAAAAACCACTGCTAAAGAAAAATATTTCTCTCAGCATCTATTTCAGATCCTCTTCATCTTAGTAATAGAATAGGGCAGACTTAGAAGGAGTCAGATTAAGAACGCATGTGAAAATTCATCTGTTGCTTTTTTTTAAGTTACAACTATTTCTATTTTAGAGTAGTTAATGATTTTAGTGCATTTTAATGAAACATTTTCCCTGACTGGTAGTTTACTAGGTGATTGTTTGCAATTTGGACTTTTTATGAATCTGGATCACCACAAAAATCCAGCAGATGTCTATTCTAAAAAGTTCTTTCCATCTGTATTTTTAGTGTAATTCAAACTTATCAAATCTTACCATGTTGATATAATTGACCATTCCCCAAACTCGATTCCTGAGGTTACTGTGATGATTATTCCTGCGATACTGGAAATAGAAACAACAGATCAACATCCACTGGTATAAGGAATTGAATAAAATCTCAACAAGTACTTCACCATAATAAATTATTTCAAAGCAAAATATCATTGGCATTCCTTTCAGTGGGCTAAACATCTGGGTAGTTTATTCAGACATACAATTTTTGACATAAAACAGCTAGCACAGCAATTTCTAAAGACATGCTTCAACTTAGTACTCCTTTAAACTTTTCTTTAAAACTTTATCCCATTTTTATAGCCCGTTATATCACATTGATTTATTAATACAATTTTTAGATGTTCTTTGGTGTCCATATTTGTCATGTTGATGAAACAAAACATATGGAAGCTTCATGGAAACCACTATAATAGCAGATTACAGCAACTTAAGTAGCCCTTCTGTGTCCACGGTGGTCTCAGACTGAGAAACACATACTCTAGGATGTGCTGAGAGAAGCAGGGGATTGTGACTCCCACCTTTTCCCTGCAAAAGGCTCAGAAAGTGAAGACTACTTTCCTGTTTCGGCCTGTTCTATCTTTTGTTCTCTTCTTACAAAGGAATTGTTTCCACTATCAGTGTTATCATGTCACAACACTTTGAATTTAGACCTGATAAAATATACTTAATAACTTAAGGTATCCTGTAGCGATAAAAGCAAATAATCAGGCTTCTTTCAAAATAAAAATGAAAATAAACATGTTATTTATGAATGCTGCCAGGATCTTTTCGTTTTCATTCCACATTTCTTTTCAGGGAGAGGATAGCCCCTTGATGGTTCTGGGCATTATAAAATAGATTCTATATGTTGTGGTTAACTAAACCTTTGGATTTTACTCACTGTTCTGACATATGTTCTTCATTTTTAGCACTTAGAGATTTTCTGATTTTTTTAGATTAAAATATAGACTGTGAACATATTCTAATTTTTATACATTGTTCAAAGCATGTGCATATGTTCATAATGGACAGGGAGTTTCTATTTTGCCTGGATATGCTACACCATAACAAGGGCCAAGGCATCCCTCACATAACGGTCTGGGAAAGCTGAAAACAGAAACATCAGCTCAGAATGGAATTCTGTTAGAATCACAACTGTTGTTTTGTAAGGATGAATGAAGAATAAATATTGAAAACTTACCACACTATTATCAGCAACAATGAACAGTTCAATGTAATTTTCTTTATGAATGTTCTAGAAATTTATGAAAAATTTAATGAAGTATAGTTAATATTCTCATTTTTAACATGTTAAGTTAAAATATTCAAGGTTGGAAATGCTATTAATAATGATACAGGAAATTGAGGTACAGAAATATATCTATAATCTTAGGAATGTATCTAAATAAAACCATTATATTATTAAAATATGTGCCCCTGTAGATGAGATTTTAATAAACTTGAAACAATACCCCACATTTGATTATCCTTCCTTTATTTATTTAGTCTCTCAGGTCAAATAAGAGTTAAAAGTACTCAATCCAGTTTTAAACATCTTCTCCATTTGCAAAGTAAATACTTACCAAGTAAGGTCATGTGAAAAGCAGCCATTTATAGCTGAGAGCTAAAACACAGGAGTGGATAATAGCACTGGCTGTATTCCGTCTGCTCCTACCCTCTCTCTCACTTCCCTACTTTGATGTAGTCTCAATTCCAAGGGAAAGTGTTTCAAAGTTGTTAATTAAATACCTTTATATATATATATATATATATATATATATATATATATATAAAATGTATGCCAAGAAATTCTAACTTTCCAGCTTTCAGAATTACTCATTGATTTACATACATATTCTCTGAGTATAAATCAGAGATAAAATTCTGATATTTGACCTAGCTATTCTCTTATTCCTTTGTACACTAAGAAATCATTTATCAATTAACCTATAAATCAAAAAAAAAAAAAAACTCCACTAAGCACCTAACATATTTCAAACACTGTCTGGACCTTGAATATATGAAGAAGATGAACATGAATGGTATTTGAAAACTAACAACTGGTTGGAGTTTAATGGGATATTAATCCACTGTATAGAAAAGCTTAAAACAGAGAGGACTTTCTTTATGGAATCGTCCTACCAGAAACTGAACTTAGTATTCTTAATTATCCTCAAACATTAGAACACTTGATAAAATGGCAGAGGAGACAAAGAAAGAAAGTAGCTAAGATAGGCTTTGAGATGGTAAGTTTCATTCCTTCTAGGCAATTATAGCTCTAATGCAATAAATCTTTATGTAGGGTTATAGACTTCCTCTTCCTTGAAATCATGGGGCAGCTGAGATTTCCTGTGGGGAATGAATGTGCTCTCTCTCTCTCTCTCTCTCTCTCTCTCTCTCTCTCTCTATATATATATATATATATATATATATATATATATATACACACACACACACACACACACACACACACACACATATATATAACAACAAAAGTTTGATATTTCAGATTTAAAAAGATAAAGAATCAGACTCGGCACGTACAGTTCATTAGTCAGTCTCATAATCTCTTTTTCAAGATTATAAAGGAAATAAGCATTTCAGCTGGGGCAAAGAAAATTTTAAAATATAATACTCACTTCCATTTTTGAGTCATCCATGGATTTAGTATTATCCTTTGGAACTTTTGTCCCAGTAATATAGAACTCTGTACAAGAAAAATTGGCAGCATACTGTGTCTTTGGGTTATATTTGAAAACCAAATGTTCTCCATCATCTGTGTATTTTACTGGTTCAATGAGATACCTTTGGTCATAGATCCTGAAGAATCCCCTATAGAAATTGAGAATAAAATGGATAGATTCAAGATATATTCCATTTTTCAACTACTTTACTACACAATAATGTTCCTTTCCATTTTTATTAACTTTGCCTTTTTAAGAAAGGGAAACCAAAAGATCAAGACCTTGTGAACATTCAGCCAGGTGTATTGAGTGATAAAGAATGAAATAATATGAGAACTTTGGTTGATTTAATAAAGTTTTGTAAGATACAATCCATCTGGATTTTCAGCAGTTTGACATCCCAATCTCTACTTTGGAAGTTCAGTGGAGTAACAATTACCAGTTGGTGTTGTGGACCCTTGGGAAGGTCAAGTTTTTTATCCACTATACATTAATTTTAGAGTAAATGTTTTAAAAAAAACTATTGTGATAATTTTGTTTTTAAAAGGGTTTTCATTCTTGAAAAAATTGGGAACTACTAAAATGAAGTCCTCATCAATGATAAAACACAAGTTTATTTTTTTGCTTTCTCTTCCACATCTTCCTCCTTTATCCTTGACCCCAAAAATATATAGAAAAAATGTATGTAGGCTTTATTTCTGACTTTTATCTTCTCATAACCTGGAAACAATGCCTGATTTAGTAAAAATTTGTGAATAATTGTGGTGTGTAAGAATTCACAGGATTAGAAATCATAGAATTTTTTTGACTTAATTCTATGACAAGCCAATTAAATGTTCAGGCATAAGTCTCTGATTTCAGTACCCTCATTCGGAACATGAGAGGACAGGTTAGATAATTACCAAGATCCTTCTACCTTCTAGCCCTGAATCTCTCCATCATTTAGTGAAAAACTTGTCTTGCTTAGGATTGTGCATTATACATCTCTTGGTCAAGGAATTAACATAAACAATGGGCTGGAGCATTTGCTCACACTGACAAACTATGGTAAATTTTCCTCTTATTTTTTTTATATTTTTCAGAGTTGCTAAGAAAAAAATAAATGAAGTGAACATCTTTGAAAATATGTAGGAAAATTCATGAAGGAAATAAAAAAGATACCGAACTTTACCTTAGACCATTACACGTGCTAATACTGGCAGCAGAATCAAGTTCGTGGATGAAGGATCCTTGGTAAAAGCAGTGCTCCTAAAATTATTGAAGAGACTATTGGCATAAGTGCATATATAGACAGAATATAAATATTAATATCGACAGAGTTTCTATGAAGAATAATAAGTATTCATTCTTACAGCTTACATTTATTTTTTTTTTATTTTTTCTTGTTTATAGAGGCATGTTATTTATTTATTTATTTTGTTTGTTTGTTTGTTTTGTTTATACATGCACTGGGTACAGTCAGAAGCGCGGGAGGGTGAGAGAATTCACCAGAGCCAGAGCGGGGAGAAGAACAGGCAGAAGGACAGAAGTACACTGCTGAGGGGAGCAGCGGGCTGCAGAAGAGGTCTGCACGCCATGTGGGACCCTCCTCTGGTGGCCGGGGAGCAGCCGGGGATCGAACCGGCGCCACAGAGGCTTCGGGCAGCTTCGCAACCCAGCGCTCAACCACTGCGCCACCAGGGAGGCCCAGCTTACATTTATTTTTATTCAGGCATACATTCACCATTGCATTCTTTCATTTAGAAAATTTTGAAACTACTTTAGAATCCTTTAAACACATGATTACTTTCTGTGAAGCAATATATAGATTATTCCCTCACAAATTGAGTCATTTTTGTAGTTCATGACACCAGTCTCAGAAATGGGACCCTCTTCTTTTCACTGTTGCTCCATTTTAAATCTCCACCAAACCAATACCTCTGTGCTATTATAATTTCCCCTAGTTGTCTATGAAGTCAAGTAAAAATTTTTGATGATCAGTAAAATTAAGTCTCACTCTCCAATCAGATTCCCGCATACTTTTCACTCCTACTTCTCTGCTTAGTCAAATTAGGTTCTTTACCACAGCTTTGTGGTGTTCTGCCCCTCATAACTCCATCAAGTATTACTTTGTCCTTTATTTGCATCTATTCAGCTCTCTTGCCTATGTTTCCATGGCCTTCCGGAGACATTAGACCCTTATGGGCCAGTAATGATCTCCTGCATAATAGAATGTTACACAATTTTCTTTCTATTTTATGCTGGTTGCGTGATGGCTTAAATTTCATTGTTGACACCTGCCTTAAATGAGGAAATAGGCTTTTAAAAGGGTGTTTTTGGCAAGAGAGAAGAGTGTTGTCCCTCAGCAGAGAACTTGCCCCAGAAAGGGGAGGAAATTTATAAAAATGAAACTGTATCCAATTGGATAATATGTATGGTAAATGCACAATGATTCATTTAGGAAATGAAAAGAAATCCCTTGTTTCAGGACGGGGCACGGATATGTGAATCACACAAGGGTCAATTAGACGGAGCTTTTAAAATTGTTTCATATCTTCAGGTATTACCCATTTCATTGGATTATAATCTCATCAGAGTTCCTTGTACTTCTTTGGAGCCCTACAGGGCCATATTTTATATTCTAGGACCATTCAGTGTTGGCAGTCAATGAAAGATTAATTTCTGATCTAACATATTTTGATGCTGCTTGTAAAGCTAGAATCAGGTTTCAAAATCACAGGAGGAAATTCAGAGAAGAGACAGAGAAGGTTCTATAAGATACCATGGTTTGAGGATGCTTGGTGATCTCTCCTTTTATCGAGTAGTATGTTTCACTGTAATTTGATGCAAGGAATTCCCTGAAAAAAGAGGGAAGAGAGAGAGTGAATTTTATTTATTCTAAAACATTAACAGATAAAACCAATCACTTGTGGGAGAAACCTCCAGGATGCTTTCAAATCTCAGCAAGGTTATCTTAGGCTAAAAATAGAGAAGCAAATTTAATCCTATTCCCATGAAAGCCTTTCCACCTAGATTTCATGGTTTGGTAAAGACTAGAACAAACAGAAAAAGATTGTGGCAGTTTTAGCAAGGCAGCCTCCTAAGTGCACTATTGGGTGTCAATGTGTTGTACTATTTATTTATTGCACATGTTGAAAAAAATTCCTAAGAATTTCCAGAATGGACAAAATGAAGTTATGGTGAAAAGACCTCTTTGAGCAAAACCTGAGCAAGTTGATTAGGAAGGAACATTAAGAAGATTTCTCAGTGAGAGCTATGTATATTTATAGAAATAAGGGTAACTGGTATGTGCATGGTCAGGATTCAATGAATGTACAGAAGGAGTGTACATTTCACTGTATGAAAATTACATCAAAAGAAAAATTGTAAACAATTGTTAAGCTCTAATGATATATTTCTTGAAATATTTAGGGGGAAATTTATGGGTGTCTACAATATAATCTGAAATCCATACAAATAATTGATGGAAAACAGATAGATAAATGGATAGACAAGAAGATATGATATAAAATAAACATTAAAACACCAATAAGAATATCAATTGGGTTTATGAAATGTTTACTATAAAATTCTTTCATCTTCTCTATGAGTAAAATTTTTCATAATAAGGTTAGTAAAAATGAAAGAGAGTCAAGAAGTGAATAGAATGCCATCATTTTGTAGTTAGTTTGAAATATATATAAAACTTTCAGTAAACTACTTGGCTATATAATAGATTTCTAAATTGACATCTTTTTGTCTCGTGTACACATTAACATGTAACTTTTCACTTATGTGAGAAATAATAAATAGAAGCCCTATTTAAATGAGGTTTTTAGCATATGCCATCCGCAAATTGCAACACCCACCATGCCTTCCACTTGTTTAGGGTAGTGATATTGCTCTCTTCCCCAGCAGAAGGAAGGATATTCTTTTTTTCCAGCAACAGTTCAGTCAATGAAAGAATGCCACAAGCCAACAAATGAGATGCCATCACACATCAAAACTCTAAGTTTCTTCCAATAAACTCTATGGTTACTATAGCCCCTTCTAAGAGCTATGTAAGTGGGGATCTGGGGGCAGCAATGTTGTTCTAAGAGGGTGACTGGTGTCTGGCCATTAGATTGCATTTTCTTTTTTTTTTTAAATATAAGATTTATTTATACAAGAACTGGGGTACAGGCCAGCTACACGGGATGGTGAGAGGATTCACAGGGAATAGTGGGGGACAGAACAGGGAGACTGGCTGAAATAAACTGCTGAGGGGAACAGCAGGTGCAACAGGAAAGGTCTGCCGTGCCATGTGGGATCCTTGCCATCTGGGATCGAACCCACGCTGCAGAGGCTACAGACAGTTTCACAGCACTGCGCTCAACCGCCTGCACCACCAGGGGAGACCCTAGATTGCATTTTCTTAGCTGCTCTTTTGTTGTTTCCAAATAAACCCATTCTGTTGATGAGTTAAGAACTTGCTTTTTTGTTTGAGGTCAATACTGTTCATAAATTTATTATAGCAAAATCTACGTTGACCCAGTCAATGTTTCTAGTGCATGAATAAACAATTTGATAAAACATGGTAGGTCTATCCAGTTTCACCTCTATTACTCAATATCAGCTGATGAAATAAATATTCAGTATGGTTAAAACAAAGCCAAATTAAACTTAGAAGGTGAAATATGGAAAAACAATGGTTATGAAGAAATAGGAACAGATTAAAAACATCAATAAGACCCAGTTTCTGTTATCACATTGTATGAAAATATTTGAATGAATAAAATGCACAGATTTGGGAGCCTCTGTAGTATGCACAAAAATAATTTATTTCATGGAACTAAGGGTAAGAGCGGATTGCACATCAGAGATGTCAACATCAGGTCAAACATCTTTGCATAAGATGAGCTCGGATATGTTTGCCCAAAGGAAATCAATGGAAACCACATTCAAAAGTGAAGAGGGGAAATAAAGCTAGGGGCATTGGAGTTACTTAACTTAAACAAGGTAACTTGATGAAGTAAGGTCTTCCCACTTCTTAGCTTACTCTCCAAAAGAAGCTGGTTTTAAATTTATTTTAAATAACTTAAAAGTGACTTTAAGAAAGTACAGTTTTCAAATTTTTTGTTCCACTGATTAATTATGCAATGGTGTATTAAATCTCTTCTTAGAGTGAGTATACAGAGCTCGCAGAATACGCAGTATCCAAGTAGGCAATGATTTAGAAACTGGAGAACAGTATTACAAGAGTAAGAATTTAGATTGTACAGTGATAACAGTGACTTGAAGAATCACTTCACTGGAAGTTTTATGAAACTGAGATACAACAGACTACTAAATCTATAAGGTATTAAATCATAGTAGAACTTACCTTGATCTTAAAAGGTGAAGTATTAAGATCTTTCTTCTTAGTTTTAATTCATACAACAATTCTTCTTCATAAGTTTCCTGAAAAACAACATCCGTCTTATGACTTAAATGTGTGCTCATTTTGTATGTATTGTGGGTAGGTGGAGAGGAAACCAGAGCTCCTGCAGGCTACCTAGTTATCACTTACCTGGCAAAATAATAAATATGGATAAGTGGAATTTGATGAGTGCTAATATATGGAAGATTTTGCTTTAAGCCATTTTTTCTTTTGTTAATAAAATTTTATTACTTTACCCTTAGTTTATAATGCTATGTAAGTTTTAGGTGCATGAATTTTAGTGGGAATTTTTCTAGTTATAAAATAAAATGAAACAAAAAGACATATTCTCCCCTCATTCAGAGATGTACAAATTACTAAATATCCCTGTATTTCCCCACAATGGATCGTTTGCTGATGTATTTTTTTCCTGCATTGTGATATTATTTTACTTTATATATATTTTACATCATTCTTCCTTTTTGTACAATACATGCTTTCTCTTTTCAGGTGTAGTCCCCGCAAAATTCCTATTACCAATTCACCCGTGCACCATCACCATAATCCCTGGGTGATAACACATTCCCTGCCCTGTTTTGATCCCTCTCTCTCCCCTGCAGACCATCTCTGATTAGTAATTGCTCATGTATTTTTTAACAGTATCATGTATAATGTTTTATCATCTACATTTTCAGATAAAAATAAATCATGACCATTTTCTATCCCCATAAATGTTCTTTTACAGTATGTGTTTTATGGCCGAGAAGAACAATATGAACTTATTTTACCTATGTCTACATTAGAAATTGATGTGGGGTATTCACTGCTGCTAGAATTTCATTGTCAGAGACAGGGAAACAATGGAAAGTTTTGGTAAATATTTACATATTATGCTGAAGAAAAGAATACAAGTTTAGAATTTCACCAGCAATTTATAGTGATTCTTATTTCCTTGTTTAGATATTATTATTAGGGCCTCCCTGGTGGCACAAGGGGTTAAGCACCACACTATGAGGCAATCTGCAGCCTCTGCAGCATGAGTTTGATCCCCAGCCAGCCAGGAAGAAACCCACATGGCGCAGCAGACCTCTCCTGGCTTGACTGCTGCTCCCCTCTGCAGTGTGTTTTGGTCAATCTGCCTATTCTGTTCCCCACTCTATCTCTGGTGGATCCTCTCACCCCAGCTCTTATATGCATAAATAAATAAATCTTTAAAAAACAGATATTATTATTAATAAAATCTCTCATGTAATGAAATAACTGTAATGAATTCTGTGATGAAGATTAACATTGTTGTCCAACAAATGTTGGTGAGGTTGTGAAGAAAAAGGAACTCTCCTGCACTGCTGGTGGGAGTGCAAACTGGTCCAACCACTATGGAGAGCTGTGTGGAGATTTCTTGACCTACTAAACATAGAGCTTCCATATGATCCAGCAATTCCACTCCTAGGTATTACCCAAAGGACACAAAAACAGTAATTCCAAAGAGCACCTGCACCCCTATGTTTATAGCAGCACTGTTTACAATAGCTAAGCTTTGGAAGCAACCCCATATGCCCAAAAATAGATGACTGGATCAAGAAGATGTGGTACATATACACAATGGAATATTACTCAGCAATCTAAAAAGATAAACACATGCAGTTTGCAGCAACATGGATGGAGCTAGAAGGGATCATGCTCAGCAAAATAAGTCAGAAAGAAAAAGGAAAATACCGGATAGTCTCACTCACAGCAGGAATTTAGAAAACCTAAATAAGAGATCAGGAAAAAGACTAATCAATACAAAGTAAAAATCAAAATCAACAAGCAACTATAAACCAGAGACACACTACGGTGGGGAGGGAGAGAGGGGTGGGGAAAGGAAGGACTAGTGTCAAAATAAGGGGGGGTGCAATTGTATGGGGAATATAACCAAAATGAAAATGCATACATTGTGCATAGATTAAAAAAAAGATGTAAGAATTTGTAAAATAAAATATTTAAATAAAAAAATTGTTTTTCTTTTGCTTAGTTATTTGTAGTTACATAAATTTCTAATTTATGTATTTTTCAATATTTTTTATTTTGTGCTATTTTCTTTATGATTCATAAGAATCCTTTGTAACTTAAGGTTCACAGTTGTTGGCCATCTATTTTACACATTTCTTTAGTTTATTGTTTACTCATAGCTGTTATTTCAGGCACAGTGATAAAATGGAATAAATTGGGCACAAAATGGCGGTCATTTAATTGAATGTTAGAGCATCAAACTAGCAGAAAGGCAATTCCTGTGTTGGAGAAATTAAAAGGAGACGGAGCAAGGGACTCACTTGCCAAAGTTCTGACGTAGGAAGGAACTCGACAGGTTTATGGAGCAGAGAGAATTTCAATATTGTTCAATACTCCTGAAAACTTGAGTGTAAGTGGTGTTGAAATAAATGAAAAAGTGGGAAGGAGCCAAATCATGTAGAGCCCAATAAGTCTTTAAAAGGATGTGGACTCTATCCTAGAGCAAAGAGAAGCAAAGCAAGAGGTTTTGACAGGAAACAATGCCAATATCGCTGCAGTATTTTTGATGACTTGCTGGGGGATAATGGATAAGCAGAAATCATGATAGCAGATGGGGAAAGCTTGTAAAGACTACTGATTAAATTCAGATGATTTGGGTAGAGGTCTGGCAGCAGGAATGAGGAAGAGCAGATAATTTGTAAGGACAGTTACATTCCTGAATCTACCAGGCTTAGTGATTGTTTGATGCAGGAGAAAAGAGAGGAGAGTCAAGAGTTAACTCAGGTTTCTGATTTGTTTGTTCTGCTAACTACAGGAAGATCTTCTGAAGTGGGGCAACTTGAAGGGAGGGAGGAGGTGAGTTTTGTAATTGTTGAATGTGTGGTGTGTATTAGGGATCCTTTTTGTTCAAGTTTAACACAAAATACAACTTTATTATAAAGACAGAATTCACAGGCAAAAACTAGGTTCTCAATCAAATAAGATAAGGTTGAATCTCATTTTGCAACATGATGAAATATTATGTGTCGTGTGTATGAGTGTGTGTCTGTGTGTTTAGCAGGAAGACAATGAAATTTTTGGAAATTTGAGTATTTGAATATAGATCTCATATTAATGTTAACAAGCTGTATGTAATCAGTCAAGTGGGTTAATATTTTTAATATTGTTACTATTATTTTAAATAAATAGAATGTAATGTTTTATTTAAAATGTTATTTAATTTTATTTTGTAATAATTTTAAGTTTATCTAAAAGATAAACTGCAAGTACTGAGAATTTTTGTATACACTACACTCCAATTCCCCTGTTGCTAATATCTTACATTTCTGCTGTGTATTTGTCAAAATTAATTGGTATCGCCAATTAAAGTCTACATTTTCCGAGACTTCCTCTTTTTTTACTGAACGTCCTTTCGCTATTCAAGAGTCTTATCCGCACTCTAGATTCCTCTAGACTGACAGTTTCTCATGTTACTTATTTTTGATGATAGTTTTCAGGAATACTGATCAAGTCTCTTGTAGTGCATGTCCCAATTTAAGTTTTTCTGAAGTTTTTCTCATGCTTAGAGTGGGATTATGGAGATTTGGAAGAAAAACACAAAATATAGCCCCATTTTCACCACCACATACCAAACATGACTTATTACTGATAATGTTGACCTTGACCACCTGGCTGAGAAGGCATTTGTCAGGTGTGAAGTTACATGTGTTCCCCCTTCCATATGGTGCTCATTGGAATGAGGTTACCATGCACAAGTCATACTTAAGGGGCGGGGAGCTGTGCACCACCACCTGGGGAGGGGAGTGTCTACATTCATTTCCAAAGCTATACAACTAATTTTGTTTTTCAGATTGTCCCATGCTCTTGGATACTTTTTTAGTTGTTCCTGTATTATTTGGACATACTCCATCAGTGTGGGTTTGGGATTTTGGGGTTTCTTGGTTTAAGAAATTCTGTATTTTCAGGTACCAAAAGATGTTTCATGCTCTCTATATATTTTCTGCCCTTGTCCAGGATCATGAATGGGACTTTCAATATGAATCTTGATTCAGTCTTAAGATAGTTGATTATAGAAGAACCTCCCACCCACCACCAGTCTGGCTACAGTGGTGGTAAAAAGTTGATTTAACCCTCTTAACTGAGTATGAACCTCCAAAGAATAAAATTTTGAGAAAGTGAGAAAAAAAAAACAGATCAAGCAAAAATCTTTAAACAAGGATTACTGAAGAAAAATGGTTGGATATTATTTCCAAATCAAAGCAGATGAAGAGATGCTGTTTTATCATCTTAAGCCTTAGAGAAAAAGTCTTAATAGGACTATTTGGAAGGCTGAAATGTGTCTTACTTTGTCTGAGAAACTTAAAAAGTGAGAGCCTGGAAGGCTGCCTCCTTTACTGGTAAAAAGAAGAAAAATCATTGCATTGGTAAGGTTTAGTCTTCCAAAGGAGTACTTGAGAAAAAGGATAGCTAGTATTTTCCATGAGCTGAATGGAAAACTTTAAGCTCAAAATGCAAATGTCCAATAATAAATATCTAAGAACATTTATCAAAGGTTCTTTACCATAGCAAGAATTGAAAATAACCGAATTTTGAAGCTTGTTTGCATTATGTGTATTACTTATTTTCTATAATAAACATTTATTATTTTTGAAAATAAAACTTGAATTTTTTAAAATATTAACACCTCAATAAACACCTAAGCAATGGGTCAAGCAAGACTTTTTGTTGCTGTGAAGATTGTCAAAGTTTACTGCAGAATCGGTAAGGCCAATAAACTTGCATAGCAGCTGAGAACGCAAAATGCATGGAGATTACATTCCATGGACACCAGTTTAAAACCAAAGAGGTTTGTCTTAAATCAGCCTGGAAATCTGTCTGGGGGAGTTAATGAAACTCTTCACATAAACTGGGTAATTCAAAATGGCACCCCTTACTTTTACTCCTTTTTGTTTCCTAGTTTGTAGACGTGTTGCTTCCCTTTTCCCCACCTCCCAGGCTCGTGCTGCAAAGTGAATGGGTTTCTCCAGAAAACTGAGACCTCTGTCTTGTTTACTTTTGATCGGAGCCAGAGGTTGTTTTGTACATGCCCATAAAAGCCTTGCATCTTATTTATTCCATCAAAGCCTGTACCTCTATCTCATGGTCATGGCTGTGCCCAACGTCACGCTTCTGCATCAACGGAAGTTTTTTAGGATAAACCAGTTCTTGACCCTTTACTTCAAGGATGGCCTTTTCTAAAAAAGAAACAAAAGAAGGAAAAATATACCTAGCATTAACATCCACCCTCAGTGACTGGACATCAGAATTATTCTAAGTTCACTTGCTTCTGGTTAGCAGCCACGTACAGCATTGTGAAATAGCTCCCCCTGTGTCCAGGTAAAGAAATTATTGAAATGGATAACCCCAAATTCAGAAATGCAAGCAAAGTTAGAAAGGAGAGGAAGAAATCGTGTTCCTTCAGCTTCCTCCATCTTTTCTAGCCTGCAGCTGCCAGCTTTGTCCTGCTGATCTGGATTCTGCCACCTGTCAAAGTCTGCACTGAAATGAATGTTTTCAATGTAAATTACTGATTTTATCTCCTGGGCACATTTGCAATTGAAATCTTAACTCTCATAGCTGAATATAAGACTTTTACTTGTTGGAAGGATTTAAGTAAGGCAGAATCAGTGTGAAACATAATCTACACATTTCCTGTACAGCTGGTAGTCATCTGAGGTGGGCCATGCTTACTTCCTTAAAGACAATACAGAGGAAAAAGCACAGGATTTAGGAATCCGCTCTTATTTGAATTAAAGTTTTACCAGTTTATTAGTGATGTGACTGTGAATAGCATATCAAATCTCTCTTCTTTGTAGATATTAGTTTCAATTTCCTTACCTTAAAGGGTAAATTAAAATAAGAACTATAAACATATTAATATACAAGGTGGCTAACAGCACAGTGCGGGCTACGTTGCAGATGCACAGTCATGCCCACCCTTCCCTCCTCCTCACTGTAAACAAGGTATATGAGTGACAAGGCATATCATAAAATCACAGAATCCCAAGATTAGTCATAATCTAGACCAAGTCTTACACTAGCTTCTCAAAAAATTATCAAGAAACTTTAATTTTTTATCATTTACTATGTAAACCTTGTGACTAAAGAGATATTACCTCGAAGTATATTAAGAAAACCATGATGAAACGATGAAGACATACCTTCGATGTAAGAAATAAACAAAGTCATGAAAAATAAACTTCCAGCAAACATTCTGAATGCTTCTAGAGGGGCACTAATGCTTGAGAAAAAGTATGCAGTTCTTTGTTCCTGCATCCACCAAGGATGAACAACCTGACACACTCACCGGCAGTTTTGATCCAGAAGAAGGAAGTGTTCCTTGGTCATATTACACAAGTCGTGAGGTGCTTCAGGCTAAAAGCTGGAGGGTGGACATCACGTACTAATTAAAATCAACCACTGAGGTGGGGGTGGGGGTGGAGGTGGGGTGGGCAGAGATCCCTACTGCATTAGTCTAGATGAAAAAATTAGATCCTTACTTCATTAGTCTGAACATTGAAAAAAAAATGTAATAAATATCTTAGAAAAAATATTGAAGGACATTTATATAAAATTTGGTTGAAGAACACCATGTAGAAATTTGTAAGGGAAAATTCAATAAAAGACTAGATGAACCACTGAAAATATTTTTGCTCAAAATCACCAATTAATTTAGATTTAAAAAACTAAACAAAATTCCAGAAGTGCATGCAAAGCATATAATAAAAGGTGAGGGGCAATATCCTTATAACACAACTCTTTCAAATTGATACAAAAAAGAAAACCTTGGGCCTCCCCAGTGGCACAGCAGTTGAGCACTGGGCTGCGAAGCTGCCTGCAGCCTCGGCAGCGCTGGTTCAATCCCCCCGCCAACTGGCGAGGCTTCCACATGGTGCAGCAGACCTCTCCTGGTGCGCCTGCTGCTCATCAGTGTATTTCCTCAGTCTGTCTGTTCTGCTCCCCGCTCTGGCTCTGGTGAATTCTCTCACCCTTCCGTGCTTCTGACTGTACCCAGTGCTTGTATAAATAAATAAATAAAACTTTTAAAAAAAAGAAAACCTTAAGAGACATACAAAGGACTTACACAAGCCTATCTGTGTAACTGTGTCCTCTTGTTACACTCTACAAAAAGAGTTATCAGCCTTCCAGCATGAATTTGTATCTGTGTTTGGGGTTCTATACCCTTCTCTATCTCATATTATTTGATTATTCCTTTAATATTACTATAAATGTAAATTTCCTATAATATTACTATAAATGTAAATCACCTTCATTCATTAACACAGTGGCTTTGGACAAATCATGAGAGATTCCTGTACTTTTGATTTCTCATCTATAAAAGTTGTATGAATAACATGGATCTCATAGGAATGGTGTGTATATTAGCAGCGTGTGTCTCTGTGCTGACAAGCAATCTTACATCCGTGATTCATTCACTCTCCAGTTCTTAGTTGACTATTTTATACTCTCTTCACAGATATCTATGTTTTTCCTTCCTTATTCTCAGGTGATCACATTGTTTGCTATTTCACTGAGGAAAAAGAAGGTATCAGAAGAACACTGTCTCATCTGCCATTATCACACCTTACTATCAGGATGGTGTGTATGTCAATGTGCAGTCATCTCTTGTTTCTATGGCTCTACTGCCCATGTCCACCATTAATATATTGGCTTCCATTATTTCTTGCCTCCTCTCCCTGCAATTTCATCACTCTGACAATTGTTCTCCTTCTCTATTGTATCATCTCCACCTCTATAGATACAAATATACTGACATTTTGTTTCTTTTTTATTTTTTTATTTTTTAAGATTTATTTATTTATACAAGAACCGGGGTACAGGCCAGAATCGTGGGAGAGTGAGAGGATTCACCAGAAACAGAGTGGGGAACAGAACAGGCAGACTGATGAAATACACTGCTGAGGGGTGCAGTGGGCACGACAGGAGAGGTCTACTGTGCCATGTGGGACCCAGCTTAAGAGTGCAGAGCTCAACCACCTGTGCCACCAGGGGAGGCCCTGTTTCTTTTTTTATTTATTTTTATTTTTTTCTATTGTTATTTTTTAAAATATTTTATTTTATATAATTCTTACATAATTTTTCATTTTTGCACAATGTATGCATTTTCATTTTGGTTGTATTCCCCATACAATTACACCCCCCCTTATTTTGACATTAGTCCTTCCTCTCCCCAACCCATACTGTGTCTCTGGTTTATAGTTGCTTGTTGATTTTGATTTTTACTTTGTATTAATTAGTCTTTTTCCTGGCCCCTTATTTAGGTTTTCTAAATTCCTGCTATGAGTGAGACCAACCGGTATTTTTCTTTTTCTTTCTGACTTATTTTGCTGTTTCATTTTTTAAAGAGGTATTTATTTTGCATCATTCCCCCTCAACACAGGTACAATCCCTTCTTGATTTCTTTTAACAGCAAAACTTATTGAAAGTTGAGTCCACAGTTTGTCTCTAGTTTCTCTCTACCTATTTCCTATTGAAGTTTTTTCAATGAGTTTTTTTATCCTTCACTCAACATTATGTTGAGCATTCTTGTCAATGTTATTGATGGTTTTCAATTCTCACTAATTTGATCTTTGGCAGCATTTGACACTGTTGGTCACTTTCATGTTTTGAAGTGTTTAGCTCATCTTATACCACTGATATCCTCTATGATCATTCATTGTTTTGTCTTAGTCACCTTTGCTGGCTCCTCCAATGTTTAAATATTTACTGTCCCCACATTCAATTCTTGGAATTTTTTTCTCAATTTAGTTACTAATAAGATGGTTCTCATCTACTTTCATGACTTTAAATATCATCTGTAAAATGATGACTGCCAAATTTACTTATGTCATCTGAATTTCTCTGAATTCCAGACTCACATGAGCAATCCTTTCAAAAACATCTTTACTCAAATATCTAGTATATCTATCAAACATGAGTACAAAGTTGTATTCTTGATCTTAACTTTCAAACCTGGTGTTTCCAAAGGCCTTCATATCTCAAGATATCATAACTATCATTTTACATTTACTGGATAGACATCCTTGACTCCTCTTTCCTCCAGATCTTGCTTCCCATGTATCAGTAAACATATTTAACCATTTCTTGACCATTTTTCACCATGTCAATGGTTGTTGTATGAATCTAAGACATCATCATTTCTAGTCTAGCTTATTGACATAACCTCACAATTGATCTTACAGCTTTTCTCTTAGTCTCTGATAATGTACTATCTGCATGTCACTCAGAATGTCCTATACACCACAGTAACTCTTCCGTGAAAACCTTTTCACTGGTTTCGTATCTCAGAGTAGTAGTCAAAGACCTATGATAGTCACCAGAATCTGCATGATTTAGCCTGATTCTCTTCATAGCCTGATTCTTCATATCCTATTTCTTTCCTTTTTACTCTCCGATCCTGTTACTGCTTCAAGGGTCTTTGCTTATTGTTCCTTCTGCTTGGGATATTCTCCACTCATTCATTTGTCTCATTTCCTTTCTGCTTTCAGGTCTCTATTTAAGCGGCATTATGTCAATGAAATCTTCTCCAAGAACACTGGGCAAAATAATCATACTCAATTCTCAGCTCTTTGTTGCCTAGCATTAGATGCAACTTGGAACATTGTATACTTGCTTGTTTGTTTATTTATACTTTAATCACCTGTCATCCTTCCTTAAAATATACCTTCATGAAGGCAAATTTGCATATCAGTTTTGTTCATTGCTGTATCTTCAGTGCTTAGAACAATAGGTTGTCAAATGATTTTCATTAATACATTAAAAAGTAAAAAATATACAAAAAAGTAAACACTCAATAAGTAATCTATAATTATTTTATCTTTTAATTATGAGGAGGATATATAATGCAGATCCTATTATATGGAACTTAAAATTAATCTAACATTTTAAATTCTTACCTACAGACATTGGACAATATCTAATCTCTCAACTTCAGCTTATCATCTCCCAGAATGAAGCTAACAATAGTAGCAGTTGCAGTGAAATTTTGAACATAACCGAAACTGAAAATATCATCTCTACCAGCAGAATTTCTGACACTCCTTCAGGTCAATACAAATAACCTTGAAGACTGATGGGTATAGTCAATGTATTTGAAGCTTCAGAAACAAATATTCATACATCAAATGGCGCTTACCAGCTTCATTCACAGTGACAGCTGTAAAGAACATTTTAA